TCTCCCAAAGAGCTACCCTTAAAGTGAAAGACCCCATGAGGGCCCCCCAAGCGCCCAAGAGCACCCCAAGAGCGCTCCAAGAAAGTCCCAAGAGACAACGTTCGGGCCTCTGAGGGGGGGGCCCGAATTGAGGACCCCCCTCTTTGTGAGCTGCGGGGTAACGACGGCCCCGAGAGACCTTTCAGACCCGCCCAAAAAGGGCCCAAAGAGGGCCCGAGGATGGCCCAAAAAGAATCCCAATAGGGCCCCAATATGGCCTCAAATGGACCTCAAGACATCCCCAAGATGGCTTCACGAGACCCCGGAGAACCTTTCACAATGACGCTTCCAGTCGCCTGGCAAACTGTTTCTGACTGGGCGGGTGTGGCTATTTTTCTTGCTCGCGAGAGCGAGCGGTAGAGCCGCGCGCCGTCGCAAGGGCCAAGCAAGCCTAAAGGCACCGGCCGAAGACAGAAGCAGCGAGCAAGCAGCACGCCCAGGAGCCGAAGGAAGCGAAGAGGAAGGAAAAGCCGGGCCCACGTGCGCAGGAGACCTTAGCAAATTGAAATGGAACTGGGACACACAAATAAATACACACAAATGAAATATCCCCAATCTTTTCGTATATGTTCTAAGGCTTTTGTCTGCCCCAACACTTCCCATATTTTCCTATATTTTCTGAGGGATCGACGATTAATTGTGTCTGTGTGTTTTTCCCCTCCTGACAAACTCGTCCGCGAAGAACTGGTACCAACAACCCTCGCCCCGACGAGTTTGTCCTCGCCGAACAAGTCAACGATCAGGGTCGACCGTGACACACCGTCGCCGTCGTCAGTACGGGTCTTGTACATCTGCCACGTAGCCAACCACGCGAAAGAGGCACTGACTCTAAGCAATCAGTCGTCCACTCAGCCAACTTACCACGGAGCAACCGACGCGCGGGGGCGAGAAGTGCGGGTCAGAGTAACGCAATCGCGTCGGGAGCATCTTCCACGGAGAGGCCCTGGCTTGCTGTCACTGGCGCCCGTGTCACAGGATAACGCCGAGGGCCATATAGACAATGCGGACGCAACAAGGCCGTAGGAGCTAAGGTGACAAGCCCATGCACCTCCTGCGGGGGGACAGCCGCAGGACGATGGACGGGCCAGACAGCTGGAAATGATCGATCCATCTCCTGGCACGCGCTCCCCGAAGGGAGCGCTGAGGGCCAGGGCCGTACTGCGGGTGGGGTCGCAGCTAACAGCCGCAGAACTGCTGGGTCAAGGGCGGCCCGTGCGCCTCCTGCGGGGGGACAGCCGCGGGAGGAGGACGGGGCAGTCGATCCAGGATGTTCATTGCCAGCTGGCCCCGGCGCCCCGGGGGAGCGCCGAGGCCATGGACGCACCGTGGGGGCGGTCGTATATCAAGGCAAAGTGCGCAGTGCAGTCGGTGAGCCCGCGCCCCGCCTGCGGGGGGACAGCCGCAGGAGGGTGGACGGGCCAGAGTGATCGGTCAACGAAATATCGCGAGGCGCCGGCGCCCCTGGAGGGAGCGATGAGGGCCAGACCGTGCTGTTGAGAGGGGGTCGCAGCTAACAGCCGCAGAGATAATGAGACCGGCGGGCGGGCCTGTGCACCACCTGCGGGGGGACAGCCGCAGGAGGAAAACGGGCGACACAGTGCAGTGAATCCATGGCCTGCTGGCCCCAGCGCCCCGGGGGGAGCGCCGAGGGCACGGACGTAGTGTGGGTGGCGCTCGCAGCTAACAGCCGCAGAGCAAGTAGAGACAGGGTGGGCCCAAGCCTCCTGGGAGGGGACACCTACAGGAGGAGGGGCGGCCAGGACGGCGTGGGGGCGGGGGCAAGGGGGCGGCAGGGGAGAAGCGGCTAACAGCCGCAGTCAGTGTGAACAGAGGAAAAGGCCGTCAGGCGGGGGCTACTGTGGATACGCGAAGCGTCAAACAATGGCTTGCATGCCATATTCCGCCCAAGGCTCCCCGCCGCCTATTCAGGCAACAAGCGTACAAGCGAGTTCCGACTTGCGCGGGGTCAAGACTTCCCTTCCCAAGTGCGGACATCCAAACCTCCACCCCCGCAACCATCGATTCTCCAGAATCGATGGCAGGCGGGGGCAGGGCTCGGATTCCGCCGCGTGCTCGACGAGCTCCGAGCCCCATCTCGCCGCCCATCGAATTGCATGAATCGATCGGCGAGGGTGACTTCGCCGCCGATCTCGGGCATCGATCGCCATGCCCCCCACCCCCCTCCGCACAGTTAGACCTGCCCGAGGTCTAAGAAGACACTGACTCCAAGAAGCCCCCGCAAGAGGCCCAGCCACGAGAACCCGGGCGAGCGGCGCGACCTGGGAGAGAAGCCCAGAGCACCCTCGATGCTGCGGTTTCGCAGCGCCCGCGGAGAGTCGCCGCGCAGCGAGGAAACCCAAAGTACCCTCTTGATGCGCGTCACCATTGTACCCCACGCAAGATGAGTGGCGAAGAGACTCGATCGATGATCGAACATCTGGGGTTTCTGATGCCTGTTTGCGCCTTTGAAGGACCTCCAGGATCTTCTTGCGGGGCGCCCTGGAGACACCCCCTGGGACCGGGGCCGCGGATTAAAGAAAACTAGCAGTCGGATGCCTCGGAATATGACTTCGAAGAACGCTTCTGGTAAGGTTAAGTCGGGCCTGTCCCTCCACAGGGGGAATATTCAGACATAGTCAAACGATAGTCCGGGGACGATGTTGTTTTAACTATTTTGACTATGTTTGAACTTTGTTTGGCTATCTTTCACATGTTTCGTCCCAAACCGCTTGCATTTGAGGAATGAAAAAAAACGCCCCTACCCTGGGTTACAGGTGCGTGGTCAGTAAACCTCCTGGGAGCTCCCGCAGGCCAGAGAGCCGCCAGAACGCCTCGCGGCACGCGCGATGCGCAGGGTTTACCCTGTCGGCCCACAGGAGGTTCAGCGCACAACGCCTCACAATGTGGGGCCTTTTTTGCGCCCTTGCTGTGTGGGCAGGCGACCCCAGAATCGAATCGATAAGTCGGGTCGGCGATCGAAATAGATGGGATCGGCGGAAATCGGCTGCCGAATCGGGAAACATCGAATCGGCGGAACTCGGGAGGCTGGTGCGCCTCCAGTGAAACAGCGGAGCCCACGTCGGAAACCCAAACCGAAGCGAATCGAAATCGGAAACCAACGAGGCCGAATCGCATCGAATCGGAACACGCGAAGCGAGTTCTGGTGGGGGACGCGCCCGACCTGCTGGTGAGGCTTCGCGGGGTGCGCACGGACAGCCCCCCCCCCAAATCGTCCACGGCGGCTAGTATTCGCTTGAAGAGGGAGAAGAGGGGGGGGGGGGGGGGGGCGAACGCCATGCAAGTAAGCTTGCCTGAATCCAAAAAAACAAGCTCCTGCGGGGCTGTCTGTGCGCAGCCCGCGGCCTTTTATCTGAGCATCGTTTACGAAGGGGCCCCAGGACACACAAATACATACACACAAAGAAAAATATTCCCTCGCGCCACCCCCCAGCGTGCTCGCCGCCAATAAACCCCTCCCCTCCCTCCCGCCGGCGGGCTGCCAGGCCTTCCCTCGGCCCCCCTGGTCGGCCGTTCGACGTGGCGCAACAGATTGGAACCACACTGAGGCCCGAACCCCTGGGAGCACTTGGACAACGAAACTCTGCGGGTGGATCTACAGTCGGACTTGATGGGAGAGGACACGCGAGACGACACGCGACCCTTCCGAGGGCTGCAGCGCCATGGGAATGTAGAAGGCACGGGTCACTAAAGACAGGACACAAGGGTATCCTTGACTTGGCAAGGTTGACCTACTGATCAAGGCCGACTGTACTTAATGGCTTGGTAGCCAGGGTCCCCCACAGAGGGGGGCACTGCTCCCCTTCCAGGACAAGGGCCTGGGCCAACCCTCCCGAAATGGATCCGCAGGTCGGTCCCAGGGCGCTCTCTGGACAGAACTTTGAGGCGAACCCAAGCGTGGAGCCGAGGGTTCACCAAAGGGCCGAGAGCCCGTGCAGGACACTGACCCTTGCCAGTGGTGACCTCTGGCGCGCTGCTGCTTTGGGGGGGTGCGATGCCCCCACAAGGCCACAGCCAACAGGGGGCCGTCCCGACCGCTGGAGGGTCGCCCTCGAGATGCCCCGTTAAACCGTGCCGACAAGCCCGAATCCCCACTGACTCACCACACGGTGTGATCAAAGCACGGTCGGTTTGGATCGGCGCGGGGGGCTTTGGAGTTTATCAGTGAATGTCAAGGTGGGTCGTATCTGGCCTGATCTGCCTTATACATTGGTTACAAGTGCCACAGTCGGCTCAGGATGATTACCGATCAGGGCGCAGTGGGCTCCGCCCACTTGGCGGAGCACCTGACCACCGCAAGCTACTTGGGGCACTTGTAACTCACTTATCAGCTAGGTCAGGCCTGATTCAACCCACTTTGGTTTTCAATGAAAGCCATTCACCCTCTCGGCAGCCCACGCGCCGATTCGAACAGAACTCCGACGGCGTGATGTTTTTCGCGTGGGCCCGCGGAGACCTGGACCCCTTCCCCGAGTCGTTCTTGACGGTCCTGGGGTCCAGCGAGGGCCCCCGTGTAGAAAACTGACGAATACTCCCGTCGCTACCGCTCCGCCTCGGTCCTCCTCCTCCTCCTCCCCCTCCTCCTCCTCCTCCTCCTCCTCCTCCTCCTCCTCCTCCTGCGTGCTTTCCCCTCCCTCCTCGGTCCTCCGCCTCCTCCTGCTCCCCCTCCTCCTCCTCCTTCTCCTTCTTCGGTGGGGAATCAAACAGATGCCGATTACGCTAATCCCTGGACCTCTCCTGGGGAACGTTCTGACCAGCTTGTCGAGACGAACCCAGCCGGGGCGACGAGGGCCTCCCCGTAGCCCCGGGAGGCCAAGAGGAGCGAGAACGAGCGACGGGCAGCGGTATTGGTACCTGCTCATGCTCTGACTCGGTAACCGCCGCGCCGATCGAAACAGGCCGCCAAGAATCGAGCGGGGGGCAGTACTTCCCTTCTGGCATGCACGCGGCCCCAACAGCCAGTGCCTGCCGCTCGGCCTCGGCCTTGGCGGCCGGGTCGGGCAGCCGGAGCGAGCGCTCGTAGGCCAGACCGCAAGCCGTGCGGGCGATCTCGCACCCCGCGAAGCCGGCGGCGTCGCGGCCTATGCTCTCGAGCGCCTTTTTGTTGGGGGGAGGGGGGACTCGGGCTCGGGCTCGGGTTGGGGCTCTCGCTCGGGTGATGCCGAAGGCGACGGCTGCGAGAGACGAGGGCGGCGAGGATTCTCGCGACAGAAGGGGGTCCACAAAGGAACGGTGGTCTTGGAACTCGTTCGCCGTTTTCCATCCACAGGCCCTGGGGCCGTCACAAACAACTCAAGGATGAAGAGCTGCTTCCCTGGGAAACCACGGGGTCTAGGACCTGTTTCCCGGAGACACCCTTCCTTCCATGGCGCGGCGGCGACGGGGATGACGCAGACGACGATGACGCAGATGACGACGAGGGCGACGACGACGCTGGCGAGGACGATGACGGTGACTGCGAGGACGCAGACGCCGACGACGAGCGCCTCGCTGGTCACGCCGCCGGCCTCCATCGTCTGGGTGTAGGAGCTCCAAATCCGCTCGATCGCCTCTGCGAGGCCTCGCCTGGAGTCGTTGCCAGTGGCGGCGTGGAAGCAGTACGCCAACGCGTAAGTGGAGATCAGGCTGCCTTGGCGGTGTGCGCAAGGGTCGATCACCCTCAGAAAGTATATTAGCTCCAGCGTGCGCGCCCGACGAAGCCCTTCAGCACGACGCACGCAGTGTTCCTCGGTCCGCCCGCCACAGGTTGCGTGCTAGAGTTATGATGTGTGCCCTGCTGGAACCGATGATTACCAAACAAATCGAAGTAACTTACAAGCAACTCGCTAATAGGTTTTGGTCTTTTTGTAAAAGTAACTGGAATAAACGTGCGAATGTATGTCGCATGTTCCAGGAATTGCTTGGCGATCCGTAGCTGTAGGTATCGCGGAAGGCCTGCGGGGCCTAAGCGCCGCGCCGAATCATCAAGAACGTTCGCAATCCCCGCGTGAACAAATCGAGAGGAGGGAAAAGGATGGAGGAGAAAAACTGGAAGTTGGAGGGAAGAGGAAGAGAAGGGAGGGAAGAGGATGGAAGGTAAGGGAAGGGAGGGAAGAGGATGGAAGGGAGGGAAGAGCATGGAAGAGGAAGGGGAGGGAAGGGATGGAAGAGGATGGAGGAGGAAAAGCGGACCAAAATGGCGAGGGAGCGGGAGAGAGAGAGAGAGAGAGAGAGAGAGAGAGAAAATCGAAACAGCAGGAGAACAACACAGGGTCAGCGCGGGAGGGCGATGCAAGCGAGGGCCGCGAACGGGCCCGAAGGAGAAGGACAATGCGAGCGAGATGGCGGGAGGGATGATGGGGAACGGGGGGGGGGGGGGAGGGGGGATGGCAGCAAAGGGCGGGGGGCGGTGAAGAGGGGCGGGAGACACAGGAGGGGAAGGCGGTGGAGAGAACGTGGCGGGGACTGGGCCCCACGTCCCGCACCCTCCGAAGAAAAGCCCAGTGGACGCAGCAAGGTGCCCAAACGATGCCCCAAGAAACCCGAAGATGACCCAAGAGGGTCAGACGGGCCCCTAAACCGGGAGACCCTTAGGCGCGAACCCTCAGAGGTCCCTCGACCGCAAACACTTCGCGGCGGTAGCAGGCCTCGCGGAAGGCCCCTGGACGTTATTCAAAGTAAAACCTTCATCTCCAAACTCGTTTTCAGTTCGGGGGTCGGCGAGACTGCGTTCACATCTTGATTGAACAAATGGGGACGGAGGGAGGCCGAGGATGACCGACATCAGCGATTTTAGTTGTTAGCCCCTCCGCCGCGCGAACTCCGCGCGGGCCAACCTCTCGCGCCCCAGAGGTGCCGCAGCTCGCGGCCGTGGAGGCGCTTCCCTCCACGGCGTTCCACGTGAACCTCCTTCCTGGGTCCTCCTCCTCCTCCTGAGCCCTCCTGTACCCTCACTCCCCCTGATCATCCCCCTCCTCCCCTGTAGTGGCGAGCGGCCGCCGCGGCCGCCGTCGGCCCTCCAACGAGGGGCCGATCCATCACAACGTATCGTAGGCTGGCTTGAGCACCAGCGCATATTTGACCCTCCGCTGCAGCTCCCTGGGAGCAACGCGATGTAGTTAGTCGCCGCGGCCTTCTCGGCCTTGATCTCTGCCTGGATCTGGAGCCGCAGCTCCGCCGCGCCTGCGATCGTGCCGAAGTGGTGCATGAGCACCGCCTGGAACCGAACCTTCTCAGCGGCCTCCTGCTCCGAAGCCGCTGCTGCCACCGCGTCGCCGTTGGGCGCAACGCCCGCGAGCGTCGCGCACCACGTGTACTTCTGCTTGGCCTGCCAACGACGGACGCCCCACGACGAACCAACTGTAAAGGATGGGCGACGAGGGGCAGTGACAGACGTCGACGGGCGAAGAGGTTGGAGGAGAGGGTGGGAAGGGGAAACAGCCATCCCCTCCACACCAGAGAATGGGGAGGAGGAGGAGAGAACAGGAGACGAAACGATCTCGAGCCTCCTTAATGCCCGCCAACTGCTTGACCACCGCCCTCGGGTCGATCGTCATGAGCGTGGTCTTGGCGTGCTCGATGACGTCCTGGAAGCTGGTGCCCGTGAACGCGTCGAGCCAGTTCACGCCGCCATTCTCCACGGAGACCAGGTCGCGCAGCTCCGTCGTCTTCGAGATCAGGCGCCCCAAGCTGTCGCCCAGGAACTTCTCGTACAGCTTCTTCTTCAAGTTCTCTGCTACCCTTGTGATGTGCGACACCTCCGTCGGCAAGTCCTCAACCCCGATCATCGAGCTGATGCCCGCCACCTGTTTGAGGCTCCTGTCGAGCTCCACGGTCGCCCCCAGTGCGCCCTCCGTCTGGGAGATCGCGTCGGCATTCGAGGTCTCCTTGGTCATCTCGTAGCACTGGCGGCAGAGCCAGAAGCTGGTTCCACAACTCCGCCCGCGATGTGTACCACGGATCCCCGCAGAGCTGCGCCAGCTCGTCCGCCAACGTCACGTGGTCCTCGTAGCGAAGGTTGGTGTCGCCGGCAATCAGCGTCACGAGAATGGGCGCGATGCACGAAAACCGGTCACGGACAGCCAACCTCAGCTTGCCGATGACGGGCGAGTGCGCAACGTTCGAGTTGGACTCGCCCAGGGCGGCGCAAACCTGGCGGGCTTCATCCGCGTTGATTTTGTCGAGCCAGTCCTGCGCGCCCACATCCTCCTCGAGCGCGGGGAACAACGAGGACATCTTGTCGAGAATGTCAGTGGCCTTGCTCTCGGCCTGCATCGCCTGCAACTTCTGGCCGCTCTCCTGGTGCATGGCGTGAACCTCAGGGTCCATCGGGTACAATATCTGCAACTCCGTGACGCCCTTCTGCCACGCTTGCAACACCCCGCCGATGGTGGCATCTGCAACGCCGCCGCTGTTGATCTTCTTCCAGACGGCCTGGTAGCTCGTCTTCAGCATGGTCTGCATAGCACCAGTCACACCAGGGCGGAGGGCACCCTTCATCGTGATTACCCTCTCCGTGAGCTCCAGCAGCTCAGGCACTACCGTCGCAGCATCATCAGTCAAGGCCTTGATCCTGCCCGCGGTATCTGTGCACATCTGCGCGAGCTCACTCGCCTTCGGCTGGTGCGAAACGAACGCCTGGAGCCTCGCATCCCAGAACGTCTGCGCTGACAGCGAGGACGCAACCAGCGTGACCACCGAACTCGAGGCGCTGCCGATCTGGCGATGCACTTCCGCAACGTCGTCCTGCACTGGTGTGAAAAATACCCTGGGCGCCGAGAGAACCGCGACCGGGCGAGCGACGCACATTCCGACTTGGCGCTCCCCCATCCCCCGTTCTCCGCCTTCAGCCCAAGAGGGCGAGGGGGGGGGGGGCAGGGGGCGAGGGCGGGATGGTGAACGAGCGGGTCCGAAGGGGGGCCGACGGAGCGGCCGAGGGCCGATTGAAGCCGAGGACGGCCGATGGGGAGCGGGGGGGGGCGCGGCGATGGTCGGGAGGGCCCAGGGGTGATCAGGAGGCCCCCCTCCCTTTCATCCGAAAGCAACCATGCTGACGACGCGGTTTGGATGCCTTCTGGCCCAGAAACTTGAGTTTCAGAGTTGCTACCCCCTTAAATCTTCAAAGACGGCACGCGACCGCCTAGCGCCCCCCCCCCCCCCCCCCCCCCCCCCCGATCCCGATGCAGGGATGCACATGCGATGACACCCAACGCAAAGACCACGAGGTGAAGTGAGGACACAGACTCGGCAGATGAGGGTCGAAGGAGGCGGAGGAGGAGGAGGAGGTCGATCGGCGCGGGGGTCAGAGAAGGCAGGGTCGCGAGCTGAGGGGGGGGGGGGCAAGAAGTAAGGGGGTGGAGACGGCGGCGGAAGGGGCGAATCGCAACAGAGGTCCTTGCGGTGCTGGCACAGGTCGGCAGACAACAGCGACTCGATACAGCCCCAGCAAGTCATCCAGTCGGTCAACGCAGACACCTCATCGTTCCCCATCTCGAGCGTATCAACCTTCTCGAAATGCTCGATGCACAATGAGACCAGCCGACCGATGACGTCTGCCTTGGGCTGGCCCTCGCCCAAGAGAGGGAGGATGGTGCGCTCGAAGATGACGTTGTTGAAGATCTTAATCCTGTCGATGAGCTTATCGCCAGCACTCGACATCGTGGGCGCCAGAGGGTTGAACTCCGCAGCTCCCTCGCTGATGTTCCATGGGCTGCACACGTCGATGAGCTCGTTGTAAGAGCGCTGGCCCAAGAGCTTCTGGATCCGACGGGTCAGGGGCGCGTGCTTGACAGACGCGGGGATCTCCGCCTTGTCCTTCTCGATGATGGCGAGGTTGGCGGCCAGTTCCTCCTCCAGGATGCCTGGGATTTTGGCCGCTTGCAAGTTCTCGGAGGCGGCGACCTGCTTGAGGAAGTTGGAGAGGAGCTGAGCGTCCAAGTTGGTGGCGGCGTCATCTCCCTGCTTGAGTCTTGACAAGGCCTTCTTCGCACCTGCAATGGATCTGCCATCCTGCGTCCCGTCCATGGCTGCGGTCAGCGAGATCTTCGCCTTCCACTTCTCGGGGCTGCCTGCGATCAGATGCGGCGTTGCATCAGTCGATGGCCCCGCGCTGCCAGGGGCGATGGGGATCATTAGGGGGGGTGGGCTATCGGAGTAAGGGGGGTGGAGGATCCGCTGGGGAAGGCTGGGCGAAGGCTGGGAGAAGAGACATCCCACGTGGGCGCCGCACTCCTTCCTCCAAACCCCCTTCCCACCCTTCCCCCGAACCACAGAAACCTGTTCTTCCATACCCAATGCCCCTGGCAGCGGCGGCACCCGACCAACGCAACACCAGATCCGAAGAAGGTCCTTGCTGCGGAGAGGCTGACGCTCCCGCGGCCATCCTCTTGGACATGCGGGTCACGGCCGTCGCCGCGGTGCTGGCCTTGCTCTTCTTGTCGTCACCCGAGTCGCGCCCGACGCTCTGGCTGTCCGCGCCGTCGGCGCGCGAGGGCGCGTCGGGCAAAAAGTCAGCGCTGCTGGAACCCCTGCTGGCACGAGGGCGGCGACCCAGGCAATCGGAGCTCTTCAGCCTATTCAGCATGGGATGCTGAGGTGTGCCATCGTCCGTCAGCTCTTCACCATCAATCCCATCATGATCTGGACAAGCGTTGGGTTTCTCGCCGCCGCCCTTGCCATCCTCGCCGTCCCTGGCACCGCCGAGCCTCGCGCGGATGAAGTGCGACATGGTCTTGAGGTGCATGCTCTTGTCCTTCTTCAGAAGGTTCTCGATGCCCCTCTCATTGAAGTCTTTCTTGTGGAAGAATATCGTGTACTGCGCGTCCTGGCCGTCCCTGAAGAAGTTGCTCTTGTCCAGCTTGGTGGCCTCCCTCTTGGTACCGAAGTGCACGCTGACGTCTAAAACTCTGAACGGCGCGCCAAGGTTCTCGAACCAGTACAAGGTCTCATCACGCGAAGGGTCCTCCTCGGATGGGACCTCTATCTTCGGGATGCCGTCCAGAGCCTGCTTCGGGATCGTGCGGCGCTGTGCGCCCTGCGAGTTCGCGGCCTGCCTGATCTCCGACTCGCTGGCAACGATGTACTGACGGGTCAAAATTGCGGAGACACCCGTCTCGGAGGACAGCTCGATCTTCGCGGACGGGGCGGCCTTCTGTTTGTTCATGACGGCCCGAGCGTTGGCCACTTCTGATGCCATCGCTGAGTCGTGCGCATTCTGGTCACACAGCTCCTCCCAGGTCAAGTGCGTCCATGCTGCGTTGTGCAGCGTATCGCATTCCTGGCACTTGTCATCCAGAAGGGTGGTCTCCTCCTGGCCGAGCCTGCCAGGCTGGAACTTGGCCCACTTCTTGTCCTGGGAGAAGCAGCGCGCGCGTGCATCCAACAAGGATGGCACTCGTCGGCGTCGAATCGAGGTCGCAAGACCGAGGGCCAAAGCCCAAGGTCGCTCGACCTCGTTTCAACACCAGCGAATGTTTGCACGCGCAGGGCTGCAAACAGAGAAACAGGCCACCCCCCCACCAAAGTCGCGGTGGGAACGGAGAAAGGATCCAGGGTGGGTGGTAGAAGGTTTGACAGGAAAAAGTGTCCTTCGGAGAAGCCGAACACAAGCCGCACTTGCAGGTTGCCCCCATCATGCGCCTCTTCCTGGGCGGCGCGTGCCCCTCGTCGGCCGCGGCAGCAGACGCAGCCGCAGCTGAACGGCGCTGCCTCCGCGGCTGCGGCGCAGACGAGGAAGCCTTGGCGACCGCGGCGCCTGCACCTGCGCCAGACATCGCGCAAGCAGCCAGATATATGGATAATGTGGAAATAACAGTGAAAACATGGGGCGCGCCCATCATCTCGAAAGCCAAAGCAGCTACAACAGGAGGAGGGGGCGGGGGGGCGCGAGGGGAAGGGACAGGTGGGGACACCCCTTCCGGAACAAGGCAGGCAATCACCCCCTTGGGAAACGAAATCCTGGAACCTTGGTGGGAACATCATTTTCCGTTCGAGGCGTCGCTCACACGTGTCCCCTAGCCCAGGACACGGCGCCACCGCGCGATGCCCCAAAAGAGAACGCAACCTGTCACATGAAAACGGGCAACACCGACGCATCGTTCAGCTGTGCGCCAACGGAGGGATCACATCGCAATCCTCGCCGCACGGCTCCAACAACGGTGGGAGGGGGGGCAGTGTGCGATATACACAAGGCGTGTTCCTCCTTCCAAACATACACACTTAGGCCCTACCCCCTGCAGGAAATCGGCACCGGCTGTGCTGGCGGATTGCCGCAACTACTGAGGCTAAGGTATTACGTGCGTGCCCCTGTGGCCCTCGAGGGTGTAATTGGGCGTGCCGCCACATGTGCACACGACGTGTGTATACCTTGCACATGCTACATACACAAGCAACGTTGAGCATGTTTTGCGCACGGCAAACCGAATGGACATGAATTTATTGAGCACGCACGAAAACCTTGAACTACATAATGTATAAAATACGCACCAGGTAAGAGGTTATGAACACGTGATACGTACTCACCTGCACGCGCAGTACAACGAACCATGGAGCGGCCATGAACAGGAGGATCACGCTGATGTGGCGCGCTCGCGCTTAGGAAATACCAAATGCAACAATGCCACACGCGCCGTTGATCCAAACGGCGCCACCCGACGGCCCAAGCCGACGCCCCACGGCGGCCCCCTCACGCCATGTAAACGTTCATGACAACCCTCCCGCGAATTCCCGCGCGACAATGCACCCCGCGACGGCGACGACGATGACGACGACGACGCGACGATGGCGGCGACGACGACGACGACCACGGCGACGACGACGACGATCGACGAAAGAAAAAACACATGGCAAGGCAAATCGAAATTGTTTGCGGTGGGCTCATAACGAACGGCGTTCACGGGATGAAGCAGGCACAACAACCGCGCGGCATTGCGCGCGACGCGCTTCGGACGCGCGCCACAAACCAGCGCGCGCTCTAACAGAAAATACGAGGGCTGGGGGGACGGGGGAAAGCATGGCACGGCAATGCCAGGCACGCGAAGCTGCCAGACCGCGCGCGCCACGAGAAAAACAAACAAACTAGTTTGTAACAAACACAATGGAAACGCTGCGGCAACCAAGGGGTGGAAGGGCAGGGGACTGCGCCGCGCTACCACGTCGCCGCGCCAGCGTGCCCGCCGCCAAATGCACCACTACTACGAGTGTTATCACTACCACTACCACACGCACTTCTACTACTACTACTACTACCACTACAACTACTACTACTACTACTACTACTACTACTACTGCTGCTACTACTACTACTACTGCTACTACTACTACTACTGCTACCACTTCGGCTGCTACTACGAGTATTAGTACCACTAATACTGCTGCTACTACGGCTACGACTACAACGACTCATGGTACTACTACTACTAGCACTGCGACTGCTACTGCTACTGCTACTGCTACTACTACTACTACTACTACTACTACTACTACTACGGCTACTACTACTACTACTACTACTACTACTACTACTACTACTACTATTATAATGCCATGCCACAGCACTACCATATTGCTACTACGACTACTGATGCTGCTGCTACTCGCGTTGCTACCGCCGTTGCTGCTACAAGCACGGAAACTATTACTGCTATGGCGGCGGCTACGGCCATTGCGATTATTGTTGCTACTGTTACCAATGGTGTTGCTGCTGCTTTCCTACACTCCCACTGCGCCTTCTTTTTCACTACGGCTGCGCCCGTTATTGCCCGCCGCCTCCGCCCCCCCCCCCCCAGACGCTCCCGCCGCCCCCGCCCTGCCCAAACCTCCCATCGGCGAAAATCGACGCGCCCCCTGCTCCGTAATACGAGGCGCCGCGCCATGCCGCGCCGTCGCCGCCCGCGTTGCCCGCGCGGGCCGAGGGCGCCAGCTCCTTGCGAGCCTGGCTGATGCACCCCTCAACGGCGCCAAGCTACTCCCCCGGCATCGCCGCGGCATCCGCTCCACCGAAATACCCGCTGGCCCGAATAAGCGGAACCGCCCCCGTCGCGCCCTTGAGAGCAGCGGCAATCTTTCGCCCTGCGAGCAATGCTGCAAGTGGGCGCAAGCGTACTGCCACGCCCTGGGCTGGTCCGTCTTCATGACGGCCCACGCCGCGGCTTGCCCGCTGCATGTCCGGGGCGCCACGCGCGCGTGTAGCCCGCCAAACGGCAACAAAACGCTCAATATCATCCGACGCCCGCCATTGCCGCGCTTGCGCGTCCGTGGAAAAATGCAAGACGCGCCTGCACGATCCTGCAGTGGGCCTACTGGCCCACTAAGCCACTGAAAGCGCGCAACACACTGCCCGCGCGACAACGTTGACGACGGGCAATGGATTTCCGCGGCGCGGACCCTGCTGGTCCGACAAGTGCGCGCAGCGCAGTGCCCCAGAGGTCGCGAAGCTCCTGGTCACCCAGCTCAGCCATGCGCCTCTCTCCAGCGATGGGGGCGGTCGACGCGAGATGGGCCTTCTGCTCCACCGCGGACGCGAGGCTGTCCTCGAAGGTGTTGCTTCGGGCGGGCGGGTTGTGCGCGGCGCCGCAACGTTCGGCGGCGCCGCCGCTGGCCTTGCTGAATGAATGCAGCCGCCCCTTTGGCGAAATCACAAACCCCCGCGCGCCTCTCCCGCGCCCCCCGCTTCGGTGCCGAAACGCGCGCACGCCTCTTCGCAATTCTGGTCAGCGCGGCCCCCACGTGCGACCATGGAACCCCGCGCCCGTTCGCGTGCGCCGTGCGGGCGGGCTCTGGACGGTGACTGGGCCGTCGTCACATGCCCCGTGCCCACCGCGAAGCCGAATGCGACCGCAACGAACATGCGATTGAAAATGAACGCAGATCTCGGGCCGCCGCATGCACGGGGAATAAGGGCGGGCAAGGGATATGGAAGGGTACCGCGTGGCTTCCCAGACACGCGCGCCGCGCCGCGCGCGGCCAATTTCGGCGACTTCGACGCGCCCGTCGCGACGCGGCGTTGGCGACGCGCCGCGGGGCAGAGTCGTGGGCCCCTTTCTCACCGTGGCAATTTGCTCCTGGCCGCCAATCGCCAACAGGGGTGCCGCGGCGTCGATGGCCCTGCGGAGGGGCACCAGTCGGCCCCATATCCAGCGGCGCCAACAGGCACCCCCTCCACCGCCTCGTAATTCGAGCGGCGCGGGCCTGACTGACTGCCAAACGCCAAACGCAAGGAACGACGCGTTAATGCCGACTCATACGTCTCGCACGCAAGCAAAAAAACGCGACGTAACACCACTTGCACGACCCCAACGCCACGCGGGCGAATCATAGCCGCGCGCTTGTGGAAACACCCAACAACCCGCAGCATCAACATCTTCAGGCCGTCGCCGCTACGCTGGCGCACGTCGAACTTCCAGAATAGCTTCGCGCTGCAGTTGTTTCCCCGCCGCTCACCACGCATGCGTGATCCAATCCGCCTGCGTGAGCGCGGGCATGTTGCGCACTGTAGATGCAACGGAACATGTGTGTCGGGCTAACGAGCCATCCCTCCCTGCCGCTTGCAGTTCGCCGTGGCGCGTTTGGTACAGTGTTCCTAAAGTGTTTCTCGCTTGAACCGCCTGAACCATTGAACAACCACTGCGTTCCATATATTTCAGTCGCGGGCTCCGTTGACGGCGCGTTTGCGCGTGTCGACAGAGCGTCGAAGTCAAGCGAAAACAATCGAAACACATAGGTTTTTAGCTAGTCAGACGGTTCAAACGGGAAGCCGCTAGGGAAAACGACACCCGATAGCGACGATAGGTGCGATTGGGGCGGTACCGCCGCCATGTCGGGCACGCGTTGTCGGGCCCGCCGACGCAAGGAACGCCCCAACAGCATAGTAATGGATCACAGAGTTGGCCCTCGGGCAGGATGCATGACCAAGAAGCAAACCACCAACATAGTAACGGATAAGTTTGCTTACCACCCCCCCCCCCCCCCCCTGCCCCCCTCAACAGCGCCCTCATCTCCAACTCAGCCGTTGCCCCCGCTAGTCCCCTGCGCTCCCCAGTGCGCAACAGCGCCCGCCGCGCACCGCGCCCGCCGCAGCGTTCTGGCGAGTTCGGCAACCAAGCCGCCGCGGCCACCAAACTATTGACACAGCCGCCGTGTTCCGATGAGTCCTGCGCGCAACCCGCTGTCGGCGCCCAGCATCAATTCGCAGCGCGCCCCGTCGCTCCTCCCTCGTCTTCCCCCTCCGCACAACCTTCCCACCTTTCTCACCCCCTCCCCCCCTGCCCCCTGCGTCCCCCACCCCCCATCGCCGCGCATAGCGCAGCCGCCGCCGTCGCCCGCCTGCGCCGCGTGCGAAACGCCGCCGCCCTCCTCTTTTCACAGCCCCCACGGTCACGGCGAACCCTCCACCGCGACCCCTCGCATCACTCTCGGGCCCGCCCACGGGCCCCCGCCACTGCGCTTGCGCGCGCCGCGCGAAGGAACATTGCCGTGAAGTGGAGGGCTGCCCTTTCGTCGACCCCCCCCCCTGCCGATTGCCATCCGAATCGGACGGTGCGCCGACCTATAACCTTTGAGTTACTGTTTACAACGCCCTTCAAAAAAACAAGTCGGCGCCACTCGTGCTCCCCAGGGGTGAAGGGGGGAGGGGGGGGGGGGGGGGGGGGGGGGGGGGGGTACTTAGCGAAACTTCGGGCATTGGAGCTGATATGGTGATGTGTCACATACAGTGTTGCCTTAGTTTTGCCCTAGTTTTGAATTCTGTGTTACCTAGTTTTGACATTGTTTTGGCATTGTTGTGTCATGTTCGAAACCAGCGAACCTAGTTTTGACATGCGTTTCAGTTAGTTTACGCAGGGTGCGTATCTGGTTTGGTAGCTTTGTCGCCAGCCCGTCGATGGTAGTTTCGTCGTAACCCGTGCCTACTTCCAACGTTCGTGCGTGCTGGTGATACGTTTCAAAGGTGTTTGCGTGCGCGCGACATGTCGAAAAGTTACCCTACGTGCCTACGCCGTGCTGCGGGTGTGTCGCCGACCTACTTTGCGCGCGCACCGCCGACGTACGCCACCTATTGTTGTTAGAAGCCGCGAGCAGCGATTTCGAAAAAAAGTAAATCTGCGCGCCATGGTGTGTGTGGTGCTGGTTTTGAAGATAGGTCTGGTGCTGCACGTTTGCCACACATACGTCGGACGGCATGCCGCGTCGCCCGAGGTCGCCCTTCGGTTCTCTGCGTACCTGATATCACCGCCAGCGCCCGCTGTCCTCATCCGCGCCGATCTCGCCCTTCCTCCACCAGGCGGTTGTCCTCCCGGCAGTGCGGACATTGCGCCGAGGCAGCCGCCCTCGCGCGCTCGGGCGTCTCTTGGCAGCTGCCTGGCAAACGCAAGACTGGAACGCCAACTGCAGGCGACGACGCGCGCGTGCGCGCGCCGACAACTCCGACTGCTGGGGCACTGTGGGAGGCGTTCCGCGGCCCTCGCAAGCCAGAACAAAACGCCGAAATGCAGCGGTGGACAACAGGAGAGGTGGCACGGCACACGACATTGCCACTCAGCCACCATGGCTTTGTTGCTTGAGGTGCAGCTGTGGCACTGTCGCCGACATGACCCGAGCGGGTCGCGCGCGCTGGGGCACGGCGCGGCGTGGCGGGCGGCGCAAGCCATGCGCGTCGACGATGCGGGGTCGGCGGCGACGGCGATTTCAACTGGCGCGCGGGGCCAAACATATAGTGCAGCCGCTGCCGCCGTTGACCGCCAATGGCCGCGGCGGCGGCGGCGCGCGCGGTTTTGCTCAGCGCCGCAGGGCGCGCTGCCGCAGGCCAGCCGCCGCGCGCGCCTTATCGCAGCGCGGCGGCTCGCCAGCGCCTCCAAGGGGCGCCGCCCGACGGAGGTGCAAGAAGGAAGCGCGCACCTGCGGTCGGGGATTGCGAAGCAGCACGACGAGCGCGCATCATGCTACAAGCCGAGCAGGCAATGCGATCAGGAAGCGCGCGGGCGAACAGCGCGGGCGACGTCGAGGCGCCAAGTCCTTGTCACTTGCGCGGCTGCGCCGTCCGCGCCTGGCCGAGCCGCGCAGCCAACGCACCAGCGGCCTTGCGATGCAAGCTCGCCGCGGGGAGGCGCAAGCTGTCCCGCGCGCAGCCAGCGCGCCCCCGCAAGCGCCCAATGACTAATGCGCCGCGGCAACGCGCGAGTCACGGCGCCGCGGCGACGCCTGCTGGCCCGCGACGCCACGCTGACATCGCATGGGCTTCCGACGCATAGCAGCGCCCACCTCGCCGCCGCCCCCGCCCTTCTCCAAGCCGCAAGCCCCCGCCCGCCCACCCCTTCCCCCCCGGCGGCGACGGCCGCCGTCGCAGCCGCGCTTGCGCGCGACGCGCGCTTAGAGAAGCGACGCTGACGCAAACCTCCCAAGGAACGAAATACATCACCCCAACGCTGGGTTAACGAACAACTGGCTGGAGGAACGGGCCGAAGAAGACGAAGTCGCTCTGCGCGCAAATCGGCGAGCGCTGAAACTGCGGTGCCCTTGGCGCCGCGGCCGTTGGCATTCTTCCCGCGCGGGCCCCGAAGTAGCGTCGCAGGTCTGATCGTTGCAGCCGCCGTGGGATACCGCGGAACAAGACGCAAGTGATGAAACCCTGTGCCTGCGCCGAGCCGCCATCGCCAGCGCGGCCGCCGCCGCGCGCGGCGCGCGCTGCGACTGCGCCGCCGCCGCCGATGGCGTCTGCGGGAAACGGTTTGGCCAGCGCGCGGGCGGCGGACGGCCCGCGCCCGCCCCCCCCGCTGTCGCGCCTGCCGCACCGCGAACGAAACGCTGCTAAAGACCCCGCGGCATAGCCATCTGCCTGATCGGTGGCAACAAATGTCGCTATCATCGCCGCCTGGCCGACTCAACGTGGCATTGTTGCGCGCCCAATGCGCAATTTCGGGCCAACTCTCGCCGACGCGCACGCGGCGCGGGCGATGCGCGCGTCGGGTGCCAAGCTCACGTCGCGCCCCACGAGTGTGCGACGCATGGCCTTGCATGGCGAATGCCAGCCGCCACGTCGGAGTCGACGCGGCAGCGGCAACGCATCGCCGAAGAATGGCACCAAACATGCACGCCAATGCCAACGCGCGAAACACGCGTCGGCAAGCGTCAGCGCTGCGGGCCATTGCGCCCCCCATGTGCCGCGGGTGCGATAAATGCCAAACTGTGCGCAGTCCGCTCGAAGGCAGGGGCGTCAGCGTTTGGCTTCAGATCGTCCATGTCCGACCGGCTTGCAGAAATCTGAGGCCACTTGGCGGCGAGGCCGATGATGCCGCAAGCCGCCTTGCCAATTCGGACCTCGTGCCCACATCGGCCAGCGCGGGCGCCGTGCGGTTAGCCGAAACAGCGCCAGGCGCGCATCCCCCAAGTGCAGATTCCCCGCTGGTGCAAGGCGCTGCAGGCGGTGCAGCATAATATGCGCGTGCAGCCAGCACCCTGCTTCAGCGCAGCAACAGCTGCGCTGGGTAAGCTCGCCGCCGCGGAATGTGCACGGGGGCGGCGTGGCGCTATGCATTGGGGATGGCGCGCCCAATCGGGCTGCGTTTTTTTTTTGCGCATGGGGTTGCGCTGAAAGGCCGCGCAATGCGTTTGCGCGGCATCGGGGCAACGCGCGCAAACCACGGCCCAGCAACAAACGCATGGCGCGGGCGCCAACATATCAACGCGCGCAAGACATGACTGGCCCCGCGGCGAGAGGGCGGCGGGCGAAGAGAAGGAACGACAACGTCGTCGCCGCCGCCGTCATGCACTGACTACCAATGCTACGCAGACGACCAGCCCGCATCGCATTCAAACGGCACTGCAGCAGCAACGCGCCTCTGCCGCCGCCGCGCGGAACGAACCGCCCGACGGGGGGGGGGGGGCGGGAGGGGGGAGGGGGCTCGGCGGGGCGCGGGCCCGACGCAATGCAAGAACAACCTGGCCCACGAAATGGCACTGGGCGGGCCGGGCCACCATGGACATGACCAATGCCCCCACAACAAAGACGCCGCCGACCGTCGTCGTCATCGCCGCTGCCGCCGTCGTCGCCGCCGTCGTGCTTCCAATCGGCGTCGGCATGGCCAGCCGTCGGCCACCGCCGTCTTCGTCGTCGCCGCCAGGGCCGTCGCCCTCGCCGTTGGTGCCGTCGCGGGCGGCGCCGTCGTCAGATGGCGTTGGCAGTCGTTTTCGTCGCGGCCGACGGGCCCCCAATTGCCCCCGCGATCGGCGCGCTCATTGCCGATGCAAGCTAGCGCGGCGGCATCGCCGCTTGCAAAGGAGGAAGAGGGGGAGGAGGAGGAGGAGCAGGAGGAGGAGGAGGAGGAGGAGGGGGGGAAGGAGGAGGAGGAGGAAGAGAAGGAGAAGGAGGAGGGGGCGGGGGGGGGGGGGGGGGGAGGAGGAGGAGGAGGAGGAGGAGGAGGAGGAGGAGGTGGAGGGGGAGGAGAAGGAGGAGGAGGAGGAGGAGGAGGAGGGGGGAGGAAAGGAGAGGGGGAGGAGGAGGACGAGGAGGAAGAGGGTGAGGAGGAAAGGAGGGGGAGGAGGGGGCGATGATGATGAGGAGGAGGCGGAGGCGGAACAGGGCGACGAGGACGAGGAGGATGAGGAGGAGGGGGAGGAGGAGGAGGAACGGGAGGAGGAGGCGGAGGAGGAGGAGGAGAGGAGGAAGGGGGAGGGGGGGGGGGCGGGGGAGGAGGAGGAGGAGGAGGAAAACGAGGGGAAGGAGGAGGAGAGGGAGAGGGAGAGGGAGGAGGAAGGAGGAGGAGGAGGGAGAAGACGAGGAGGAGGATGTGGAGGAGGGCTAGTGGTTCATCAGTGCTCGATTTTACAAGCCAGCGGGTTGACATGCGCTAGTTGACCCACGGAGAGCGGTGTACGTGATGCGACGGATGGTAGCACGCATTAAACAATACCATGCACAACTGTTTCATGATGCATGTTATGCTTACAGCGTGGTACACGCAATGAGTAGTGCGTGCATGGGCTGATGTACAGTGTACAATACAATACACACTACATTACACATGGAGCTACGTGCTTTACGTTTGTGTATAGCGTGTGCACTGTATACACCATGGCTATACGGTGATGTATGTCAGCACGTGGCTTATCACCCCAAGCCTCCTTATCAGCCCACTGGTTCAGGTACAAAGTGCATCTATACCACGACTGGGTCGAGCCGACATCACCGACAATCAATCCAAGCACTGACTATCAAAGGGGGGCTCAAACAGAACTGGCGACACCGTGATCAGATGACGAATTGTGGTCATTGCAACGACGAGCGGTTAGCATTAGCAGCTCATTGCGCAGCACTGGCACTGCGTGAAACTGAACAGCGCACCGCCACAGCACCCAAAACTGGGCGGATGACGATGCCACACAGTGGGCGCAAGCTCAATGCAAGAATTGTGCCAAATCTTCATCTTCACTATCCTTTCCTGCTGCCTTCGCCCTCTCGGAGGCCAGCAGCTCAGGTCCACCAGGGAGCGTTGCCACGTGGCGCCTGGCGGCCTCCCGTGCCTCACGGGTGAGGGCGTGCAACGACATCTGGTCTGCGTGGTCGGCCTTGCACTCGAACATGCCACCGTTCGCGAGCCAAGCTGCGAAAAAACCCAACTGGCCGACCACCTCTCCAGGTCCCGTCTTTTCCCATCGCCCCGACCGGCGCCCGGGTCAAAGTGCATTTGGATCCTCCCCTGTGCGACGGACAATTGCAGCACGCCTGGAAACGATTTGACCGATGCACGCTGATTGTACCACCAGGCAAGTGGCCAGTAGAAAGAGCAGCGCCCACTTCACCACGAACGATTGGAGCTGGCGGTGGAGGCAGCGGCGGGTCTGGGCGATCACCACTACTCCCTGCAGCGCCCCCGTGACCCCCTTCCTCACCCCCTGGCGGCAGGCGGGCTGGGGCTGGAGGGAGGTGTTGCGCTGGATCTGGCTCTCCAAAGAGTTCAGCATCCATCGCGTCAGCGCCATCGTCTGGAACGCCAGCAAGGTTGGCGCCTCCAGCGGGCGGGTCGGCGACCCGCATCTCCTCTGCCGCTGCGTCCAGAAGGGCATCCATTTTCTGAAAATCAATGTCCAGGTATCCAGGGTCCTCCTCCTCATCCTCCTCGCCCTCCTTATCGCCCTCGCCCTCGCCCTTGGCGCCGTCGCCCTCCTCGCCCTCGTCCGCCTCACTCTCGCCACCTCCTCCTCGTCGTCGTCCGCACGGCCATCCTCGATGGGAAGATGGCCAGGCGGACGCCCATCTTTCTTGGGCGCACCTCCCTTTGCCTTGCCCCCACCTCTAGGCGCCCTCTGGACTGGCCACGCGCGCGCTGGGCCTGGCTCGAGTGACCGCGCCCTCTTCACGATCACAGTGTCTGGGGTGAGCTTGGGAACGGGGGCGCCACCACCGATGATTTCAAACCGCTCTATCATCCATGAACGCTGCGTTCCGAGAACCTCCACGGCCTGGTATTCAGCAAGACATGTCCCAAGCGCCTTCAGGGAACATGCCAAACACGCGGCGTGACATGCGGGCTCTACAACGCACACGCGCACACACACGCACGGTCACCCTCAGAGAGCCTCAGGATACAACATCTATCACAACCCAGGGACATACACAGACAATGGGCCCGCACGCACAACATACACGACACGCGCACGCGCCACCTGGAGCCTGATAGCATCGGGGTACTCGTGGATAGTCTGGCCAACCGCCCTCTCCACTAGAGAATACGTCGGCCGTATGGGGCTCAAGTACTGTAAAGACACGTGCATCCAAATCCCGTTCTGGACGGGACCGAAGTCGGACTCGATCGCAACAGGCTCCCCGGAAGAAAGATCTACCTCGATGAACTGGCCAACGATGAAACCGTCTACGAGCAGAGTGCGCATCTCAGACCTCATGGGACAGCAACGCTTGAGACTCCGCAAGATACTATTTCTGAATCGGTCCCGAACTTTACCCTGGCCAGTGCAAATGCAGAAACCAGCTCTCATGCATTTAGTGACGAGGGGCTGCTGGGAGCTGATGGGGGCGCACTCCGAGGCCATGATAGTTTTGTGACGCTCAGCCCACTGGTTTCCAAGAGCTGCAGATACATTCGACTTACCATTGCGCTCAGCCCAAGACACCGCTGCTTTGGCCCACTCGAGGGACGGTGGCTCCAGGATAAAAGCGCTGCTCTTCTCAGACGGCATCGGGGTAGCCTTGTGCTCCGAAAGAAAAAGGAACTGGGCAGGGAGGTCCTTAACGCTAGTGGCACCAACACCAGCGTCGAACTTATCCAAATCAGAATCGATGTCAACCTGCCGATGCCGATACGCAGAGCGTTTCACGTTGCTGACCTCCCTGGCGACGCGGAGCGCCTCTGGCAGTGAAAGGACGGCCCCGCTTCTATCCATCAGCGCGTCGCTGGCACGCTCTGGGTTCGACCGGGGGCTGAACGCGCGAGCTTGAGTCAAAGCTTTGTCTCTGTGTCTCTGGGCCTGCTTGGGCGAGATCCCGAAAGCCGAGTGGCCTGGGGCGTAAACAGCCGCCTTCGATGCACGAGTAGCTTCACGTCCTCTCTCAACTAACTCCTCCCACCCCTGGCCTCCAGCTGCCTTCGCTGCCTGGTAGGCCTGGGCTAGCGCTGCAAAATCAGCTTTGCCTGCCTGTCCGCTGGCGTGCTTGTGCACGAAGGCCCTCCAAGCCCCGCCAGAGTTCTGCCTGGCACTCTCGCCGCCCGGCTCCGTCGTCTCAGTAGCCTCCCCTCCCCGCCGCCCTCCAGAGCTCCAGCAACGCAAACAACAGCTTACAGCACGACACGTGCAAACAACTGCACATGCTGGACGCCATCGGCATTGATGAGGGCAGTGGCAGGCCTCCCGACTGACCCCGCATCCCCAACCCCGAGGGGGACAGATAGGGCGGCGACTGCAGACGGGGGCTGAGGGTGATTGAGAGGGGCCGAGGGTGGAGGGCCGATGGGTGGGGGGCGAGGGCGGTCAAGGAGTAAAGGCGGGGGCTGAAGGGTTGCCGAAGGGGGCTGAGGGGGGCGACTGGGGGCTGAGGGTTAGCAAGGGTACCGCCAATCTCCTGAGCCCACCCTCGTCGACTGCCAATCTCATTCAGCCAACCGCCGGCCTTGGCATGTGAAATGGCCCCTACGATGTCACCCTGTTCACGCGTCACGCCCCAAGACGCGCGATCACGCCGCACTCTTGATCCCGAAGGGGGGTGTTACGACGAGGCCAGGGGACGCGCAGAGATGTCGTTGCAAAACGTGCTACGCCATGCTGTCACGCACCGCACTGCATACAGATACTGCGCCCGTGCAACCTCCCTCCTCCTACGCACTCTACAACATGTCACCATCACTGCCCCCCTCCCGTGCAATCCTCCTCGATGCGCACATGCATGGAATCCTCGTCCTTCGTCCCGTGCATGTGCATCCTGCTCCGTCGTGCCGTCCGACACTGCTGGAAGAACCAATGTGCCGAATTATCTATGATGTTCATGCAATGCGTATGCACTGATCGAGCGATGAGGTTGCGACGGATTGCAGCGTGCCGAGCTTCGACCCCAGCCATGTCTAGGTGACATGCAACGGCAAGCAGCGACAATTTACTCAACAATTCATCGCCCACAAGATCGGGATGGCGTCGACAGAGGTCTTGCCCCCAGGGGCCCTTCATACAATCGGGCCATTCCCAAAACTCCTTCGCAAGACCAGGACCACGTAACAACCTGAACACCTGCAAGTGGAACATATTGTGGGGCTGCACCTGAAGCTGGTAAACCAACGCGCCCGGCCGAGAAATCAACCTGAAAACGAGGGCATTGAAACCGACTGTGAGAGACTTCCTCGGGAACGAACTCCAATGGAAAGGCGTCTTCCACACCTCAGCCAGAGCATTAAAAAAAACGCTGCTCGAACACGCCCTCGGCCGCCAACAATGCACGGTAGTCACGGGTGCAGTGCGGGGCCTCGCCGAACTCTGCAATCGCGCGGGCAACTTTGGATCTCTGCTCGGATCCCCACTCCACGCTTGAAAGCTCCAACTGGGAAGTCATCAACACAACCAAGGGCTGCAACACGGGCCTCAAAAGCATCATTTCTGAGAGGGGCTGCGACTTCAACCACTGCACGGTCGCCCGCCGTGCTTTAGAATTGGCGTCTGCCTTGCTGCTCGCAGGGGCGTTCGCCACCGCGACGGCGAGGCCCCCGCCGCCGTCGGCGATGGGCAGGGCAACCGCGCCTTCCTGCTGACCCCTGGCCTCGCCCTCCTCTGCCTCCTCCTCTGCTGCTGCGCCCCCCCCCCCTCCTCCACTGCCGCCGCCGCTGACGTCGACGCAACGATGGCGGCGATGGCGCGCTCCAGCTGGTCCTCCTTTCGAGGCCCGAGGGATAACGCGCGCGAGAACACAAGGTAAACTGCTGACGCCAGTCCGTGGATGGCCTCGAGCTTGCCCCAGAAATCCAGCGCCAGTTCTGCGCCAGCCCAGCGGTGTCGCGGCCAAATGCGCGGGCGACGGCTGAGCAGCACGCAACGCAGGCCACGCTGGATCATCGAAGACACCAAGTCCTTGTCGATCGCCACGGAGGCACCGCGGGGCACGAAATACTCGACCCGATCGGTTTTCCTCCAGTCCCCTTTGGGCAAGCACATCGCCGGCGCCTTCTTGACCTGCATGCCAGGGCCAATGTTGAAAAACAAATATATCATTGCCCCCCCTGAACTGCTTTGCGTCGCGTGGCAACTCTGCATGTATCGGGCGAAGCCGATGGCGAATCACGGATCGTAAACACTTCCTGAACAAGTTCATCACGGCGCTCAGCTGTAGTGATAACGGCGCTTGAATTGAGTTCGTGACAGTGCCCCCCATCAGCTCAGAATACGCCTTCGTGTGGCATGTGGCTGCAATGTGGATGCCGCAGGGGTAGCGGAGAGCGGACCACGCATCGCCTCGGTCGACAGAAGCGCTTTTATCGAGCAGGATGTTGCTGGCAGCTTGGTCGCTGCAAACAGCGCGGCATCTGTGGCCGAACTGCTGGGAAGAAGGTGAGACCGCACAATTCCTCAGAACCGCTCTCTTGATACACACCGCTGCCGTGCTCTCCATGGCTTGCAAAGGGCATGTTGTCGTGAGGAACAAGAAAGCGGGCTCCCCTTGCACGCGCACATACATTGCGCAGCTCTGGGCCGTCTGCAACAGCTTTGTAACCATTGCGGAGTTCTTCTCGCAGGCAGTCAGGGCCATGATCATCCCCAGCACACCCTCGCTGACAGAAGCCAGCTCAAGAGAATCGTGGTCGGCCTTGTTCTGCGCAGCGCTGTCGCCTTTGATCGTGACTCGCATGGGCGTTTCGTCGTATCTCTCCACGTCTGCGTACATGACACAGCCCTGTTGGCCGCACGTGTTAACGATGTTCAATTCCAATTGCGACCTGTGGAACCTTTGAAGCAAAAACGTGGCCTCTGCCAGTCGGTGCAAGTACTTCTGATCGCTCTGTCTGGGAATGCCCATGTGTTCCTCCAGCGAGCTGAAAGTGTGAACTCCTACACGGGGCCGCCCCATCCACATGGCGGCAACCTGCTGCACCTCATCATCCAACAACACACCAAGTTCAGTAGCAGACGAGTGCGCTTCCACGAGGGACGGCGTCAACACGCATGGCGGGCAGAAGCCAAATGATGACGCTGATAAGGATGGAGCCGAACTCGGTACCATGAGTTTGTGCTGCAGGGGCCGAGGCCGCTTCTGACTGTGGGTGACAGGTGGTTCAAGCTCCAATGGGCCAGGGTGTGGTGCTGCACCCATCTGCGGGCGGCCTCGCGTCCGCTTCACCCTCTGTGGCTGTTGGGGGTCGAACCAGCTGGGCGCGATAAGCAGGGGGTGGCCCTCGCCGACCGCCGCCTCCTGCTCCTGTTGCTGCGCCTCCTCTCCTCCCGCCTCCTCTGCCCCAGCCCTGGCAGCAGCGAGAGCACCCCACCCCTCGCCATCGCCAGGCGCTGGAGGCTTCTCCTCGGCCACGGGGGCCGCGAACTCGCCCCACATGGGGGCGAACCTGTGCGCGGCGGAGCCGCCCTGCGCACGGGCTCGAGAAAAACTAAAGGAGGAGGGGGAGGAGGAAGAGCAGGGTAGAGCTAAAACGTGAAGACGGTGGATGGACCGCACGTGGGAGCACGGAGGAGGTACGGGAGAGGGAAGGAGACAGGCAAAGAGGAAATTAGGAGTGGCAAGGTGTTGAGGGGCGACGGGAAGTCGGAAAGCACGAGGGCAAGGAGGAGGCAAGGCGAGGGACACGAGATCGACTCGGACGAGGGACGAGGACAAGGAGGGACGAGGGACGAGCGACAGAGGGAGAAGGAGGGGTCGAGGAGGAGCGGGGCCGAAAGGGTCGAGGGCAAAGAGGGCAAAGTGGAAGCGAGAAGCGAAGAGGGCAAAGAGGGCAACGGAGGAGGGGGAGTCCGAGAGGGACGAGGGGCGGAGGAGGCAAAGAGAAGTCGAGGGCGACAGAGGATGAAGGCAAAAACGAGGGGACGTCCCCCCCCCCGCTCCAACGTTCAGAACGTCGCTGGCCTAACAATCCAAGGAGGAAGAGGTGGAGGTGGCAAGGAGGAGGAGGAGGAGGAGGAGGAGGAGGAGGAGGAGGAGAAGGGGCGCTGGCCTCAAAAACGAACGCCGAGGCCAAGGAGGAGGAGGAGGAGGAGGAGGAGGTGGAGGTGGACGAACCCTCCACCACCTCCTCATCCACATCCTCCTCCTTCTCCTCCCCTTCTCCTCCCCCTGCCCTTCCCCTCCTTCCCCTCCCCCTCTTCCTCCTCCCCCCGAGTCGCCTGCCAAGCACTGCCGTTCCATATCATATTCCTCCTCCTGCTCGTCCTCCCCCCTGTCCTGATCCTGCTGCTGATGCTCCTCCTTTCCCTCCTCCTCCTCCTCCGCCTCCCTCTTGTTTGTCGCTGCATTATTATTTTCTCGCCGAACACCTATCTCGTAGGTGCGACACCTTCCGTGCGCGCGAACACCTATCTCATAGGCACATACATGCATCGAACATATCACCTTCCGTGTGCGCGAGCACCGATCTCATAGGCGCGGACACCTTCCGAGGGGACCTACATTCCAGAAAACATCGAAACCTATTAGCAAGCTACTTTTGAGTGTCTTTGAATATTCTGCAAGATCCTAGGTTCACGCAGGGAAGCTACGTCATAATGCTAGAGGCAGAACTGAACAGGACATACATGCAGTGGGCTAACACACGCTCTGAGGATCATCGAAAGGGGGTGGCGCGAAGGGGGGCGGCCTTCTCAGAAGGCAGGGAGGCCTTCTTGGAAGCCCTTCCTTGAGAAAACTCCTAAGAGGTCTTTGTAAGAACGGGTGAGTGTTATGGAGCCCCATTGAAGGGCCATTCGATCAGATTCGCCCAACCCAGATCAACCTGGGGATGAAGCCAGATTAAGCTGGATGGAGCCGCATTCGCCAGGATTCTACCGAATTAGGCTGGCAGTTCGATCACGGATACACCAGCGCCGATGCTCAAATTACCCTTCAGAAATTGCATTCTACAAGGCGGGATGGGCTTCCAAGAAAGCAAAGAAGGCTTCTTAGAAGACCCCCTGCTTCCAAGAAGCCGTCTTGAAAGGCCCCCCGGCCCTCCTGATAAGGCCCATGCCTTGAGGGGCGTCGGGAGGGGGGACCAGCTCGGGGGGGGAAAACATTGAGCTCGAATCGTCGGCGCATCGCCGATCGATCGGCGATAGGTCCCCGATAGTATAACATCGCGCGCTCCTTAGCGGGGTGAGCTATTAGTCCCCTGAGTAGGTTCGCGCGAATTTCTTGGATCGGCGCTGGGCCCCCCTCCATGGCGCGCGGAGCGCGCCAGGGGCGGCACCAGAGGCGCTGCCAAGTGGTCCAACCCCGATCCAAGAAATGCGAGCGGAACTCCGACAAATTCATATGCGTGCAAGTTGCTCCTCTCCGCCCATCGGCTGTCAATGGGCGATTGGGGGTCGATGCGCCCTGCTGCGGCTCTCACCCCCTGACGTTGCCCTTGGGGTTCGGGTCATCGGCTCTCCAGTTGCCGCTCAGGACGATCCAGGCACGCCGAGAACGCTCTCGGCGAGGCGCTGCCGCTGAAGGCATCCCGAGGCTGGAAAAGCACCAGGAAGAAACAAAAACGCCCGAAAACCTCAAACCTCGAACCTCGTCGATGCGTTCCCCCCCTGAGCCTACCGCCCCCCGTCGCCGCCCCCTCATGCCTTCCAGGGCCGCCGCGCTCGTGCCGCCCCCCTCTTGCCATCGCTCGGACGTCCGTTCCCCCCGTTCCCCGTGCACTGTCTGGTTTTGTGCGCGTTTCGTTTCTCAAGATGGTCAAGGATGCTCTATTGGGCGTTCATTCACGGGGCGGCGATGGATGGGGTGGGGGGGGGAGGGGGGAGAAACGTGCACCTGTGGTGCCCCTTCTGGGCCCTGGGGCGCCCCTTTGGAGGCACAAGAGGTGCACCTCCCGCTCTTTTCTTCACCCCCCCTGGATCGCACCCCCCCTACGTACTCGCCGCCCAACTCCAGGATGATCCAGATCTTCCGGCGCGGAGCCTCGCCGAGAAAACGAGCGTGCACGCGCCCGAGCGATGTGCCAAAAATCTCGGGGGCCCACCGACGTCGAGGCCGGGCGGCCCGTAGATGCAGAACTCGGGATCTATGACCTCTGGGGCGCCGGCGCGCCCGGGGGGAAGTGAGATGGAGGCACCTCCTTGCATGAAGTCGTGATCGTGAAGTCGGCTCTCTGGGACCCACCCTTAGCTGCTCATTCTGGGGACCTTCCTGGAGCCACTCGCTCCACTCGTGCGTCGAAGCTGCGTCGAACCTGAGTCGAGCCTGAGTCGAACCTGAGTCGAACCTGTGTCGAACCTGAATCGAACCTGAGTGGAACCCGAGTCGAACAGATCCGTCAGGTGGGCCCCAGGAAGGTCCCCCCAAACGAGCATCGAGCCGCCCTGCGCCTCACCCCCTCCTCCTCCTCCTCCTCCTCCTCCTCCTCCTCCTCCTCCTCCTCCTCCTCCTCCTCCTCCTCCTCCTCCCTCCTCACCCTCCTCCTCCCCCTCCCTCCTCCTCCCCCCCTCCTCCTCCCCTCTCCGCCCCCCCTCCTCCTCCTCCTCCTCCTCCTCCTCCCCTCCTACTCCTCCTCCTCCTCCTCCTCCTCCTCCTCCTCCTCCTCCTCCCCTTTCTTCTGGAGACGCGGGAGCTCAACGCCACAGCGGCCCAAGCTCGTCGTCGGCGGCGCAGGCCCCAAGGGGGGGGAGCGGCTGCCTCCGTCGTGCGCGCGGGGCGGGGGGCGCCGCGCGCGGCGTGGCCGCGAGGCGCAGTGCTCTCCGCGCTCCTCGCTCCGCCCTCCCCACGGGGCCCCTGGGACACGCAAACAAATACCGTCGGGGCGTTGACCTAAGGAACCCTAAATAAGGAACGAGGCCCCTTTTTTCCATAAGCTAAACTTCGATTTCCGATCGAAAACATAAGGAACACCTGAGGCAAGCTGTGAAACAATCAAGGAACACGGAGCCCCTCCCCAACGAAAAGGGTTCCTTCTTCAGGGCCCCGACTGTATGTCCTGGGTGTTTGTCTTCCCCCCCACTTCCCACAGTTTCCCATACGTTCCTGGGAATCGACGATTCGTTGCGTCTGTGCGCTTTTCTCTCCCCCTCCTGAGTCATCGCGAGTCGTTGAACTCGGCGGCGAGCGAGGGGCGGAGGGGGGGAGGGCTTCTCAGACGGCGGGCGGGGGGGAGGCTCGTGATGCTCCTGGAAGGCCAGAGGACTTCGGAACCCTGCGCCCCTGCTCGCTTCCCCCTGGACGCGCCGCCGATGTGGGGCAGCGGCGTCGATCTGCACCAAGGCCGCGCTGACGGCGTGCTTGGACAACGGTGTGGTCGGGAATATTGTTTTTTGTGACCCCAAGCCCACGCAGCACAAAGATGCAGGAGATCACAGCACACCGTTTCCTGCATGTCGAATATGCGAGCGTAGCAAACGAAGACGGCACAGCGAGATGTCGGATAGCACGAACCACGCGTTCCTACGATTGGTTTGGCCACGAACCACGCCTTCCTACAATTGGCTCTCCTACGTCGCCGTTAGCTAACACACCGCTAGCGCGCCTACGGTTAAGTCGGGCGTGCCTCTCTACAGGAGGCATGTTCAAACATGGTAAAAAAAGAGTCTGGGGACGATTGCTGTTTATCATTATCTGCGCGACTCTTTGGGGGCATGTTCTGAATATTATGTTTGTGCCCCAAAATCCGCCTGCAAGGGGGGACACGCCCGACCTAAATAACTACCTACCAGACCACCCCAACCCAACCCGAAGACCCGAATTTGACCCGAATTTCGGGTTGGGGGGGGTACGGATACCACGTGTTTTTTCAACGTTCCCCGACCCCCCCCACTGGAAATCGAGGATAATTTTGGGCCTTCGGGTTGGGTTGGGGTGGTTTGGTGGATGGTGACTAAAAGAGCCCCCGGCACCCGCACCGCCGTGGAGCTGCCCGCAGGAGCGCCAGGCCGGGAGGGAGCCGAAGGGGGGGCTCTCCCCGACCTCGGCGGGCCTCGGCCACGAGCAGGGCTCCCCGACCTCGATCCCAAGGACTCGGTCGGGCGTGTCCCCCCTGCAGGGGGATTCTGGGCGAACGAAGAAAATCGGGGATGGGCAGACCCCCCTTTAGCAAAACGTGGTTTAGTGAAAACGACCTGAGGCCCAAATCTGGCGGGCGCAAGCCTGGAAAATGACGGCCACGGCGCCCTCTCGAGAACCGAAAACGGACAATTCACTAATCGACGTGTCACTGTTGGGGGTTCTGTCCAGCCCCGAGAAAAAACGAACTCGAGACATGCACCCAAAACATGCAAAAATTATAAAAAGTCGTCCCCTGACTGTTGTTGGACAACTTTTGAACATTCCGCCTGTAGAGGGACAGGCCCGATCGAAACCCCAAGGAGCGGCCCTACGGAAAAGCCCAGGCCCCTCGTGAGCCAAAAGTGGTCCTCAGTGCAGCGCCACGACTGCCAACTGCCAAACGCGGGGCCCTCGACCTCCAGAGTGCCCGTCGTGGCCGTGCTGTCTTCACGCTCGCTCGCTCTGCCTTCGCTCCGCCCTCGCTGCAGAACGGGGTGAGAGCGAGATACACGCTGGGTAGTCGAAGCCAACCTGGGGCCAATCTGGCAGGCCCAATCTGGCAAACGGGGGCAATCTGGCGAGGGAGCCAACGTGAATCCAGTCTGGCGAATAACCCAAATGATCCAGTTTGGCCGGGCCAGATTGGCCCTTGGGGCCCAATCCAATCTGACAGTCTGGCCTTCGACTACCCAGATACGGGCTGTGACGTCTACCTGCACACACCCGTACTGTCTAGTTCTTCACTCACCCGTACTGTCTAGTTCTTGCGACGGCCCCTCCTCAAATGCCTTCGATGCAACGTGTGAAAGGTGGTGATATCTGTGGCGGCGGCGCCGCTTGTGAATCAAGTGCATTCGGTGTGCTATCGAGATTTGGCAAGGGGCTGGCAAACAAATAGCTCTCAACCTACTTTTCGGATTCATTGAGTTGGCGGTGGCGTCGACAACAACTGCCCCACGGAACAAAGTAAGCGAAATACGACAGCAGAGAAACACCCCAATCAGTGGATATTATTAAAATTAGTGTTATGGCTATTTGGATAGATTGTGAAGATCGACAGTGGGATCAATAGCGGGATTGATACTGTAGACGATGGTAAGTCGATCGTGAGACCGGTTGTGAAGTCGGTTCAACAAGGTCCAATCTGAGATCGATCGTGAGGTCGCTCGTGCGATCTATAGTGACGGTGACTGTGCGATCGATACTGACATCGATTGTGAAATCGATTGTGAGATCGACAAAGAGGATGGCAATAACATCGATACTGAGACCGATCGATAAAAATATTGACTAAGAACCCGGGACAATCAAACCCGGGAACCCCGCCGCCCAACGAAATCGGCCCGGAACCAGCAACCGGAAACCTACGAACCCGGAATCGGGAACTCGGAAACCCAGCGGCCTACCGAAATCGACCTGGAACTTTCGCCAAATCTTCCAACCTCCGCGAGGACCCCCTTCAGTGCGAGCGCTGATTGGGGGATCAAAGATAGGAGTAGGACACGAGCGGCGACAACATCATAACATCTATCCGTACAGTCGGGCCGCTGAAAGAAGGAACGCTAAATATGGAACAAAACCCCTACCTTGGCCCTGTAAGCGCCTCCGTGCCCCAGGAGGGCAAGAGGAACAACACTGGAGGAACCTAAGGAACATCGAGGCCCTTCCGACTCCACACTGTTCCCTATTTCAGCGTCTTGACTGTACCCGCGCCTTCGCGGTCTGGCTTCCGAGAGGGGGGCACCGCGGCGACGCGCCGCACGCAAGGGTTCTGCGAGGGGCCTCCGCGAACAACGCGCCACGTGTCCGCGGGGTGGCGGCCCCACGAGGCCAGGCTCGCGAGGCCGCGGACACGGACGACGTGTGTTTCGCCCAGGGCTTCCGGGGGGAAGGCAGAGGGCAACGGGCATCCGCAAGGAGCTCAGAAGGCCTCCCGCACCTTCTGAGCAGAGCCCTGAGCCTGCCCCGAAGTCGAAGGCAGCTTCTCAGAGGGCCCGAAGGCAGCTTCTCAGAGGGCCCGAAGGTACTTGCCTCACTCTCTATACGGGGCGGTCTTGGTACGAACACGAAATAACCACGGGATAACCACGAGACAAACCATTGACAACCACGTGACATCCACGGGAATACCAAAGGACAAACTACGGGACAACCACATGACAACTATCGGACAACAACTGGACAACCACGGGACACCCTCTGGACAATCGCGAACAACAACGTGACAACCCCGAAGGAAACAAATATCAACCGCTGGAAAGCCACGGGACGACCACACAATACCGTACGATACGGTACGATGCGGCCCGTATGTATGAGACTGTCTTCTGACAGGAGCAGGCGTATGGGACACGCAATCCCGTCAACTGGGTGGGAGATGCTTCGTGCCGCTGCGGAGAACGCAGCACGGACAAAGCTGCATTCAGGCAGGCATGAACAGGCCCAAGAAGAGGCTGAGGAGGCCAGGGGCGGCGCCAGAGGCGCCGCCGGGGGGGCCCAGCGCCGATCCAAGAAATCCACGCGGACCTCCAGAACAATTCATGTTTCTGAAGTCGTGGGTGCTCTTCGATCATTGGCCACATGCCAAGCACATCGCGACTGGACCCAGAATTGGCCTGGCCAAGTAGGAGACCGATTTCTGACCACACCCACTTCCCGAGGTGCCTTGCGAAAAACGGTTTCCACAGGTGGAGGTGGGCAGTTTCCCTGCCCCAGGGGAAGGAAAAACTACCCACTCCCACCCCCGATGGCCCACCGTAGAATCGAGGATCCAGAGGTGGGTGTGGTCAGAAATCGGTCTTCGACCAAGGGCGGTGGACGTGTACAAATCCTGCCGTGCGATGGCCTTGACGCCGCCGGCCGCCGTGTCGGCCATGACGCTGCCGGCGTGCAGGTCGCCGTGGAGCAGGGCCAGGTCGTCCAAATGCTGGCCACGGTAGGCGCCCTTGAGCTCCTCCGGGTGGACTGCCTACCAGACCACCCCAACCCAACCCGAAGAGACCCGAATTTCGGGTGGTGGGGGGGTACGGGCTCCACATGTGCTTTCTCGAGGTTCCCCGACCCCCCCCCCACTGGAGATGGAGGTCCGTTTGACGCCTTCGGGTTGGGTTGGGGTGGTTTGGTGGGTGGTGACAGGCGGGGTCAGCCAAGACAGCGCTCTACAGTCGAGGCGTGTTGAACCGAGAACGAGCCGACCGATCAACCCAAAGAACGGTTTGACGCAAATCCGAAGTCGTGGCACTGGAGAAACGACAACCGTCCACGAGAGTACCAGCACAGCATGTTGGTCGACCACTGCTCCTCCAGAGCACCCATGAAGGCCGCGTCCGCGCGCAGGTCTGCCGCCCGGTCGTCCTCGCGGAAGCACTTCGAGAACACGTACTCCAGCTGGATGGCCCGGAGTGCGTCGTTCGAGAAGTCGGCCGCGAGCTCTGCGGCCTCGGCGGAGGACACGCGGCTGCTGGAGAGCTCGTGTCCGTGTTTCGGCGGTGACCCTCGCCGAGCGCGCTCCCCTACTCGCAGAGTGACTGCTCGCCAACGTGCGAAAAACACCCGTCTGCTCGGATGTAATCTGGCGTAGATCCCCGGCGGGGGACCCAGGCCATTTGCGAGCAGTTACTCTGCGAGCAGTGGAACGCGCGCGTCGAAACCCAGATTACTCCAGATTTCGTAATAAGGGGAGGGGGTCTCATTTCGGGGGGGGTCTCTTCCAGGCTATCTTGGAGGGCCTGGGGGGGTCTAGGGACGATGTTTTGGAGGGTTCTCCCACGGGAGGGGTCTAAAACTTCTCGTCTGGGAGGGTTGAGACCCCCTCCCTTTTATTACGAAATCTGGAGTACCAAAGGCGGGGGGCAGGAGGGGGGGGGAGGTGCCGGCCGATGGCAGAACAGTTTTCGCTTGGGACAGCCCCACGCGTGCCCGCGCTCACCAGCACTGCGCACCCCCTCCTAGGACCTGCGCACCCGACAGGCTCAGGTCATCGGAGGGGGGGCTCGGGGGAGGGGTGCTGGCGGGTCGGATAACCGAGGTTGTCGCCGGGCAAAGAAAAGAACTGTCTCCTGTGGGTGCGCGAGTGCAGGAGCCCCATGAACTCCCCCAGCTTGCCAGCGATCTCCTGGCTCACCACGCCGGCAAACAGGCTCTCCTGCAGAAGTTGGTGAGAACCCAGGAACTCGGAGATGAACACCATGTTCTCCGCGTCGAAAGAATACAGCCTTGGCTTATCTTGTCCCAGGCAATGCCAACGGAGGCCGACAACTACCTCAGGAGTCGAGCCCCCTGAACCCCCACGACTCCCGATGACGCCTCGAGGACGAGGAGGGGGAGGACAGGACGACGACGACGACAACGATGATGACGACGGCGACGACGACGACGTTTGGGGGAGGAGGAGGAGGAGGAGGAGGACGAGAAGGAGGAGGATGAGGAGGAAGAGGCGGGGGGAGGAGGAGGAGGAGGAGGAGGAAGAGGAGATGCTCTACTCCATGTTTCGGGGCCCTGTACAAACCCATATTGCATCTCTCATTCCATTGGGGCTGCGATTTGCGAAACCGTCGCCAATTTCGAGGGCTGCTGGGGGGCCAGCATTGTGGGGCCCGACCCAGATTCATCTTCGACCTCGCCATCCCTGACGGGGGGGGCTGCGATCTTCGAAATTGCCGCCGCGTTCGAAGGCTGCTGGGGGACCAGCATCGCGAGGTCCGATTCGGGGGGGGGGGGGGGGCTTGCGATCTGCGAAGGCGTCGCCAATGTCAAAGGCTGCTAGGGGGAGGGGGGCAGCGCACGGGGGCCCTATTCAGACTCTGATTAAACCTCGCCACCCCTGGGGGGCTGCTATCTGCGAAGCTGTCGCCACTTTCGAAGGCTGCGCGAGGGAGGGCGTAATGAGGTCCCACCCAGAGCCAGACCTCGCCATCCTCTCTCCTTCCGCTGCCCTTCACTCGTCGTCACTTCCATCCTTCTGTTGCCATGTGTAATTGCTGCTGTCCCGCTAATGCTTCCAGATCCCCGTCCGCCTTCCCATCTTAGTCGTCGCTCCTTGTTCCCCTCGAGCCAGAAGAATAACTAATCAGCTCCACCAAAGCCTTGTCCATCCATCGGTGCCCTGCGAGTCCTGCAGCTCGCGAGCCTCCCAAGATCGCTCGCATAATACATGTTTGATGCATTTATATACACACATATACACATATACACACATACATATATATATATATATATATATATGCACATAATTGAATATGTATTCCTCAGCACTGTGTTTCCTCACCTCTTGTCCCCCATCCTTCTCCTCAGCTCTTTTTGCGGAGGCTCCTCCTTGCAGAGCCTCTGGGGGCCTCACAAAGTTGTTCAGCCTTTCTTAAGGCCGTCTGGAGGCCTCGTGGGCGTGCTCTGGGGGGCTCTGGGGGCTCCCTCGGGCCCCCCCGCCTCCAACCGCGCTCTCCCTGAGCGACTGGGTCACGATTTGGAAGTGTTTCGGGTGTATTGGGGCCATCTTGGGCCGCCATGGGGCTCTATTGGGGCCATCTTGGACCCCGGTTGTGTTGTTTGGGGGCTCCCTTTCGCTTGGACTGCCTGGATACCCTTTCGGAAGGTTGTGGCGCGATTTTGGAGCCTCCCAGGCGGTCTCGGACGCCTGGAAGACCGCCGTCTTGGAGCGTCGGGAAGCCGAAAAGAGGAGAACCCCAAAATTCACCAAAAACCGAAAGAAAATCTACTAATTTTGCCTCTGGAGGCCCTCTTGGGAGTGCTCTTGAAGGCCTCTTGGGACGTTTGGGAAGGATCTTTGGGGGTGTGACGGCTTCTTGGGGGTCGTCGTGGACCATATTGGGGCTCTTTGGGGTCGTCTCGGGAGCGCGCCGGAACGCCTGGAACCCGTCTGGGGCCGTCTTCGGGCTCTCGTGACGTTCTCCAGGGTCGATTGGGGCGTTGCCTGGAGGCTTGGGGAGGGCCAAATTCGTTAGGGGGGGGGTCCGCGTTTCCAGCCCTGCAAAAATATATAACTGGGAATACATGAATAGTCTCTTTCTCTCTCTATATATATACATATATATATATAGATATATATATATATATATATATAATATATATATATATATACACATAGATATATGTATACCTACATTTATGTACACATATATTCAAATAAGAAACCATCGCGCGCTTCGCGAGCGCTCAAGGTCTAGCTATGCTTGATGGGCTAACTCATGGAATCTAATGTTTGTTGTTTCTTGCATCCAGGGACTCTCTTGGAGGCCTGCGCAAGCCTCGGAATCGTACAAAACGGGAACTGCGGAAACGCACAAAACTGATTAGTTCCAGTTAGGTTTCAACGATTTGGGGTCCTCAAAACCTTCCTGGGTTCTTTTCTGGAAGCTGAGGGGGGCCTCAATATGGTCTGCTGTGCACGGGTAGCCAGGGGGGGCGAACTGACAAAAAAATAATTGTACAATTCCTGTTGTTTTCAAGTTGCCGTGTCTGGGTTGTGGGTTAAAATTTGTCTGGATGCAAGCCACGGTCTGTTCGGATTCCTCTCGTGGTCTTCGTGCCAAAAAATCAGGCGGGTGATTTTGAAACAAAAAATCAGACACATTCTGTTTTTTCCAACTCACGGGATCATGTGATCTCAACTTCTACGGTGGTTTCAGGGGCAGCCAAGAGGACACGAAGACGATCCAACAGAGTGCCAAGACAGCGTCAGAGAGTTTAACAGCTCTCCCGAACAATATTTGCGTGTGGCCCCGAAATCTTGATGGGGCTGGAGGAAGAGGGTAGGGAGGAGTCCCAACTTAAAACAACATAATTCCAAATGTGTTTCAAGTTCCTCGGCATGTCTCTTGGAGGCTCTGGGAATCTGAAGAGCCGACCGAAGGCTGTCTTGGGTTGCTCGGGAGCGTCTTGGGCCGTTCTTGAACGTTCTGGAAGCTTGTTGGGGTCGTCTTGGGCTGCCCTTGGGTGTTTTGGGAGCCCCCCAGGGCTGGACCTCGCAGTACTGGGAGCGTTCTGCAAATGCTCCAGGGAGGTGTTGGACCCGCGAGAGGGGGGGGCGGGCGTATCTGTTTAACTCAAGAAAAAAGACTCACTGGAATTCATTTGGGGATAAAAGGCTCCTCGGTCTTTGAGCGTTGGAAGCGGGACAACGCGAGGAAGCGGCAAAGTTGAAACAAACAAAAACCATCGCCGAGTTGAGCCTCTTCGGGCTCTTTTTGGAAGGCTCTCGAAGCTCTCTTGGGCTGAGGTTTTTAAGGGGCCACCCGCCCTGTGAGCACGCCGCCGGCACCCCCCCCCCTCACCCTCGCCGGGACCCCCACCGAGCCTCCTGAGGCCTCTGGGCACATAGAGTTTTCGTAGGTTTTACGGAACCCCCACTCAGCAAAATCCTCGCCGGGACCCCCGCCACGCCTGACCCTCGCCGGGACCCTCACCGAGCCCCCTGGGTCCCCTGGGCACAAGGTTTTCGTGGGTTTGAAGGACCCCCCACTCAGCAAAATCCTCGCCGGGACCCCCACCACGCCTGACCCTCGCCGGGACCCTCACCGAGCCTCCTGGGCCCCCTGGGCACAAGGTTCTCGTGGGTTTGAAGGACCCCCCACTCAGCAAAATCCTCGCCAAATACCCCACCACGCCTGACCCTCGCCGGGACCCCCACCGAGCCTCCTGGGTCCCCTGGGCACAGGGTTCTCGTGGGTTTGAAGGACCCCCCACTCAGCACAATCTTCGCCGGGACCCCCACCACGCCTGACCCTCGCCGGGACCCCCACCGAGCCACGCCTGACCCTCGCCGGGACCCCCACCGAGCCTCCTGGGTTCCCCTGGGCACAAGGTTTTCGTGGGTTCGAAGGACCCCCCACTCAGCAAAATCCTCGCCGGGACCCCCACCACGCCTGACCCTCGCCGGGACCCCACCGAGCCTCCTGGGTCCCCTGGGCACAGGGTTCTCGTGGGTTTGAAGGACCCCCCGCTCTCATCCTCGCCTCGCCGCCTGACCCTCGACCCGCCGCCTCCTGGGTCCTGGGCCCCTGGGCACAGGGTTCTCGTGGGTTTGAAGGACCCCCCACTCAGCAAAATCCTCGCCGGGACCCCCACCACGCCTGACCCTCGCCGGGACCCCCACCGAGCCTCCTGGGTCCCCTGGGCACAGGGTTCTCGTGGGTTTGAAGGACCCCCCACTCAGCAAAATCCTCGCCGGGACCCCCACCACGCCTGACCCTCGCCGGGACCCCCACCGAGCCGAGCCTGGGTCCCCTGGGCACAGGGTTCTCGTGGGTTTGAAGGACCCCCCACTCAGCAAAATCCTCGCCGGGACCCCCACCACGCCTGACCCTCGCCGGGACCCCCACCGAGCCTCCTGGGTCCCCTGGGCATAGGGTTCTCTGGGTTTGAAGCCCCCCACTCAGCAAAATCCTCGCCGGGACCCCCACCACGCCTGACCCTCGCCGGGACCCCCACCGAGCCTCCTGGGTCCCCTGGGCACAGGGTTCTCGTGGGTTTCAAGGACCCCCACTCGGCAAAATCCTCGCCGGGACCCCCACCACGCCTGACCCTCGCCGGGACCCCCACCGAGCCTCCTGGGTCCCTTTGGGCACAGGGTTCTCGTGGGTCCCACTTAGCTAAATCCTCGCCGGGACCCCCACCACGCCTGACCCTCGCCGGGACCCCCACCGAGCCTCCTGGGTCCCCTGGGCACAGGGTTCTCGTGGGTTTGAAGGACCCCCCACTCAGCACAATCTTCGCCGGGACCCCCACCACGCCTGACCCTCGCCGGGACCCCCACCGAGCCTCCTGGGTCCCCTCGGCACAGGGTTTTCGCTGGTTTTTTGAAGGACCCCCCACTCAGCAAAATCCTCGCCGGGACCCCCACCACGCCTGACCCTCGCCGGGACCCCCACCGAGCCTCCTGGGTCCCCTGGGCACAGGGTTCTCGTGGGTTTGAAGGACCCCCACTCAGCAAAATCCGGGACCCCCACCACGCCTGACCCTCGGGGACCCTCCTGGGTCCCTGGGCACAGGACCCCCCCACAGCAAAATCGCCTCAAGGACCCCCCACTCACCAAAATCTTCGCCGGGACCCCCCCCACGCCTGACCCTCGCCGGGACCCCCACCGAGCCTCCTGGGTCCCCTGGGCACAAGGTTCTCGTGGGTTTGAAGAACCCCCCACTCAGCAAAATCCTCGCCGGGACCCCCACCACGCC